ATCCACTTTTGGCGTGCTCGTATGGTTTTGCCTTTTCAGGGCTTGTGAGCCTCAAAAGGCACCTTTAAAGATAAGGGTGACCCGAGAAGCTTATAAGCCCTTAAGTTCTACTCCTTAACCAATGTGGGACTAAATGTCTTTATCAATGCTCCCCCTCATGAGGGAGCCTATATGATTTTGCTCTTTCGGAGCTCATGAGCTTCTAAAGGCACATTTGAAAATAAAAGTGACATAGGGAGCTTATAAACCATTGGTTCCCTTACTCCTTAACTAATGTGAGACTAAATATCTTTATAGGGGAGCCAAGAGCTCATGATCTTCATTCTAGCATCATTTTGATAAGTCAGCATTTTATCGTCATTGGTGTGATCTCATAGGCTTGCGAGGAATTGTCTACCTTGGGCATACCCGTACGATTTTGTCCTTTCAAGGCTCGTGGCCCAAGGGGTTTATTAAGCCTTTGGTTTTTTTACTCTTCAATCAATAAGTGGCTAAATGTCCTTATCATTACTCCTCTCATAGGGGAGTCAAGGACTCATGACCCTCTTCCTTGTGTCATTTTGATAAGTTAACATTTGATCGCCATTGGTGCGATCTCGTAGGCTCACGAGGAATTGTTCGTTTTGGGCGTGTTTGTACGATTTTGCCTTTCATGACTCGTGAGTTCCAAAAGGTACCTTTGAGAGTAAGGGTGATATTAGAGGTTTATAAACACTTGATTTTCATATTCGATCAATGGAAAAGTCTTAATCAAGAGGTAGCTTATAATTATTATCTTGAATTTATGTACATGTAGATAGATAAAGTTAGAGTAAGCGCGATCCTCGAGGTTGATGTGGTTACCACATCTATGAACACGTGTCATATAAACATTTCCCTTATAAGGTAAATAGGCTATATTTTGGTCAAAATCAGTATCTACTATGCCATAAATAATTTGCATATGATTGCAATGCTAATCAAACTAACAAAATTTATTGTTTTGGTCGACAAAGTACGTTTATGCTCCACATAACCTACCATAACATGCATATTAGATGGTTAAAGGTTTCTGCTTTTGCTTACAGTGTCTGAACCTGTAGGCTAATGGCTACGACTCTGTTGTGTGACTTATGGCTTCCCTACTTTGCAGCTGATTCTATTACATTATTCGTTGCAGTGGAGGCAGAACAATTCAGACTTTGAGCTGAGGTAGTCTTAAACTTGGACTGCACTTGTGCAATGTAGCCTTCTTCTTCTTCTTCTTCTTCTTCCTCCTCCGCAGTCGGGAAGCACTGCATCATATGCGAGCCATTCATAGTATCTACCACCGTATGACATATGCACATTAAAGCACGCTCGTTTGGGATCGGAGGTCAAAGATTCACAGGAAGACGCTACCAGGAAATGTGTCAGCTCTCTTTGTCACAGCCCTCCTGCCTTAGCTGTTCTCGACTCAACGTGGAGACTTGCACCGGTTCTGAACCAGCGATGCAAAGGACAAGCATGACAGCCGGACGCCGGCACCAAAATCCATCCCACATCGACAGGTACGTATCTGCCTCTTAATTACCCCTATCCATCCCATTCAAGACACTGTTTCATTTGCAGGAAGACTCATCGATCCGATTCATCTGAAGCTCGAATCATCAGGACAGCGTCTTCGATAAGCATGTCGGTTAAGGCTGCAGAAAAACTAGCCATTAGGCCAACTGTTTCGCCCCTTCTAATCCTGCATGCAAAGCGTGTGTCCTGTCATATTACCTTTCCTCTTCCTCCTCTCGGTCATTAAGCAGCACCGCTCACTGTCCTCGCCCTATATAACTACTCCCGCCCTGCACCGCCCACTCCTCACCACGGTGGTAGAACGTCAAAGCTGCTGCTATCATGAGGAACCCCGTGCTGGTGGAAGGCGCCGGGGATGGGGCGGCGGTGGGGGAGAGGCTATTGGTGCTGTGGCGGCAGATCAGGACGCCCATGGTGGTGCCGCTGCTGTGGGCTCTCATGTACGCGTGCGCCTTCATGTCGGTGATGCTGTTCGTGGAGAGGGTGTACATGGCGATCGTCATCGTCCTCGTGAAGCTCCTCCGGATCAAGCGGTACACCAAGTACAAGCTCGATTCCATGAGGCAGGAGATGGAGGCGGAGGAGTCCCACCCCATGGTGCTCGTCCAAATACCCATGTTCAACGAGAAAGAGGTACGCCAATGGCCGGCCATTCGGCTCATCATCTAACAACTCTGCAATCGCCCATCCAAACAGATGTTGTCAGTTCGTAATTATGTGATTAGCTTTTATGAATCATATAGTTGGTAATGAAGAGGAACACAAATGCTAAGCACGCGATGACAGGTATACCGCTTATCGATCGGGGCAGCCTGCGCCATGTCATGGCCGTCTAACAAGATGATAGTTCAAGTTCTCGATGACTCCACTGATCCCGTCATCAAGGTGATGATACCTGCACCTGCAACAGAGAAAGAACCACCGTGGCAACGACATGCGATGGATGATGCTTTGCTCACCTGCGATGCTTGCTTTTGGTTGCCGTGGTCGTCGCAGGAGATGGTGGAATACGAGTGCCAGTCGTGGGCGAGCAAGGGAGTCAACGTGGAGTACGAGTTCAGGAACAGCCGAAGCGGCTATAAGGCGGGCGCCCTTCGCGAAGGCCTCGAGAAGAGCTACGCCAAAGACTGCGACTTCGTCGCCATCTTTGATGCCGACTTCCAACCCGACCCCGACTACCTGTGGAGGACCATCCCTTTCCTTCTCACTAACCCTGAGCTCGCTCTGGTGCAAGCTCGATGGAAGTTCGGTGAGCCCGTCGATGGTGATCATCTACTAGTGCTTGCAGGTGGTTGGTAGCTCTCGTTATTCATCATCAACCACGTCTATCCGTTCTGGTGCAGTGAATGCTGACGAATGCCTCCTGACTCGCCTCCAAGAGATGTCTCTGGATTACCACTTCAGCGTGGAGCAGGAAGTAGGGTCTTCCACGTACTCCTTCTTCGGGTTCAACGGTAAGGGCCCTCCTCCCTCTTCGCATGCATGACCAGGAGACGACGGTCACGGATGCATGCATCTGCAGGCACTGCGGGGGTGTGGCGGATGCAAGCCCTCGTCGACGCCGGAGGGTGGAAGGACCGGACCACCGTGGAAGACATGGATCTTGCAGTCAGGGCTTCCCTCAGAGGGTGGAAGTTCGTGTTCGTCGGCGACCTGGCAGTAAGTGTCATCTCTGCTCTCCCAACCGAGCTCGGATGCATCATCTACTAGTGCTTGCAGGTGAAGAACGAGCTACCCAGCACGTTCAAGGCGTACCGCTTTCAGCAGCACCGGTGGTCTTGTGGCCCGGCAAACTTGTTCCGGAAGATGCTGAAAGAGATCCTATGCTGCAAGGTACCCTCGAAACCCTCCTCCTTTGGAGATCTCCCCCGAAGCTCCTACTGTAGCAAGCGATGTAGTTTCCTGCAGAGGGTGTCCGCTTGGAAGAAGTTCCATGTCATCTACGACTTCTTCTTCGTGAGGAAGATTGTCGCCCACTTCGTGACCTTCTTCTTCTACTGCGTGATCATCCCGGCGTGCGTCCTGCTCCCGGACGTTCATCTTCCCAAGTTCATCGCCGTCTACATCCCCTCCGCCACCACCGTCCTCAACGCCATCTGCACTCCCAGGTTACCCAAATCCTGAATCACGCTAACGACATGAGATTCCCATGAGAAAGCTTCCCTGTTGGATCATGGCGCAGGTCCTTCCACCTGATCATCTTCTGGATCCTGTTCGAGAACGTCATGGCGATGCACCGAGCCAAGGCGACCATAATAGGGCTTCTGGAGGCGAACCGCGTCTACGAGTGGATCGTCACCGCCAAGCTGGGGAACGCTTCCAGGAACAAGAACAGCTCCAGGTCGCACAGGAGATCTCGATGCCGCATCGTGGAAAGGTAAACGAACGCTGCAGAGTCGTCATCTCAAGGACAAAAGAGTGCCGCCTACTTGTACTGATGATGATACCTCGGTTGCATCAGAATCCACCTGATGGAGGTCCTCATGGGACTCTTCCTCTTGTACTGCACCATCTACGACATCATGTTCGGCCGCGACCTCTTCTACGTCTACTTGTTCGCCCAATCCATGGCGTTCTTCGTCGTCGGCTTCGGTTACGTTGGCGTATACGTTTCCAACTGAGGAGGAAAGGGGGAGACGGCCGAGGCCTTCAGATTCAATTTGCCGAACACCCCAAGTGCACAGAACTAACATACTGCTCCCACTGCTCTCATCTCCTGAGACACGGGAAATCCAATGTTGGATGTAAGGTTTGTGACACGGTTAGTAGGGTCGTACCATTGACCCCACTCTATATATGTTTTAAGCTTTACTTAAATGCAAGAAAGATGCAGTAGCAATACAAAAGAGTGTTGGAGTAATAATAATAATAATAATAATAACTCTGATGTCATTTTAAGAAGAAAGATATCATATCAGTTGCTTATGATGAGTACGTTTGTAATGAAACACTGGTGGAATATACCAGTCAGATGCATCATCCTACTCCATTCTCCAGTTTCTCTTATTCTCTCTCCCTGTCAAAATATATATGTTTGCAGAGGTAGCTTTTGTGCAGGCATCCATGGTGGTCAAAAGCTTCAACATATTAGTCACTGCAGTTCTTCAACACTCTGATATGCAGTACAGTTATTTCCATTATAAGAGAATGTTTGACCGGATAAGTGGAGAAAGAACAAATAACAGGCACATATTTAAAAGATGGAAGGTGCAGTATGAGGTACATAAGACTTGTATTTCAACATAATACATTGCGCTTGTACAAAAATGAGGCTCAACCAAATCGACTAGAAATGATGGGAGTGGGTAACAATCAATGTAGCAATCCACTAAGAGAAAACTCACACCTGTTATTGGCAGCAATTCTATAAATAGGAAAGGTTCACTAATCGACAAGGATGAAGGCCCAGAAATAACCAATCAGCTATAACACTCAGTTAAGTTCATCGATTTTAGTTTCGTATTCTTCTCTGGTCGATAGGACCTTGACACGAACCATACCTCGTTGCCACTCAGAGTTCCCAACCAAGATAAGCCTGCTTGCATTGACTCGTTCGGCGTGCTTAAAAACCCTATCAAGTAATCAAGAAATAACAATCAAGAGAGTCATTTCAAAATTACACAAGTTAGTTTCTTGCATGATATACATTTTCAGGCTATACCTATGGGGTTTTATTAAATTAATGAAACTTAACAGTTTAAGACATACCATTTAAGGCGTTTATCTTCTACAAGGTCAACACTATGGCCTTTTCTTCTGAGGGCGGAGGCGACCATGGAGGCTTGTCCTTCAAGCTCCTCATCCAGTGGAAATACAATGTCATCTACTTGGCGACCCAGATCAGGCAGAAGCCCTTTTTCCTTTAGCAACTGCAAAGATGACCATTTAGATGATGTTAAATGATGGTTATGGCAGATATGAAGGGAGATGGTCACTTGATGAATTGTTTCAAATGAATAGTGAATAAATCAGTTGACTAAAAATTGAGTAACAGTTGCATGTTCTTCTTAAGATTTAAATTTCTGTTGGGACGTTCATATTTATCTAATAATGAGTATCTTAATTCTGGATATCTCAAAAACAACATTAACAATAAAGCAACCAGATATTTACTTCCACTATAACTGCATCTCCGAACCCAAACCCACAAGCGGGAATGTCATCACTTCCAAATGTGGACAGCAGCTGGTCATACCTTCCTCCACCACAAATCGCCCGTAGTTTGCCTTCTCTATCAAAGGCCTGACAAAACAAAAAGGTGACAAATTAATAGACAACTGGCAGTTACCTGCAAGATTCATCATGTATGCAAGATTTGTTATGTATGAATGTGATACACTATGTGACACAAGCATGATCGATCTCATTCTTATGTGCATTAATAAAAGAGGAAATTCAAATACATTCTGCAAGGTAGAAGGTTTGGTAGAGAAAGGACTAGAACACAAGAGTTGCACTTGGCGGCAATACAAAAGAAAAAGAATACTATTCCAATTAACTTCATATCCATCTACAAAATCAAGTTGCTAGTAGAACCAAAACATTAGGCTAAGATGGACAAATGACATCATAGTTGCTAGTAAAACCAAAACATTCAGCAAAAATGGACAAATGGATATCAATGTAGCATCCAAGTAAATTATTACTCAAATTGATTGGAACCAGATGAAATTAAACCATAATCAAATCATTCACTTGTTTAAGCTACCAAGGTCAATCAACTAATGCTAAATTTCACTAAGGGTGTGACTGGTCTCATAAAAAGGCAGGTGATACAGCAGCAGTTGAGAAAACCTCTTAAATGACTGGTTCTTTGCCTGTTGCTTTTGATCTAGCATCATGTTTAAACATGGTGTCTTGTGAGTATACCCATTTTCGGTTTTGTTTCCCTGTACAGGATTCATGACTTGCATGATACTTCTAATTCTTGAAAGTGAATCATGATTAGACGATAATTGAACCAAACAATGTAAGAATAGCTGTCAATGTGCATCAATTAGTCTCTGATCAGAACACTAATAAATTTTGTGGGAGACATCTGCTTCTGTAAGTATCCGCATAGAGAACAAAATGACTGCAACTTTGGCATATAAAACATAAACTCCTCTGCATCGTTTGGTTTTGAAACATTGACTGGCATGTAGTTGAAGTATTTGATCACGTGATCACTGGAATTATATCTTTAAAGCAAGGAATTGAGATGTCAACATTTGAACCAAGGTTTGATTGCAGCACAAAAGACTTGCAGTTCAGCTAACCTAGGGCATCTAGATTAACTGACCTATAAATTCCTAACTTTTCGACAGAAAGTTGAGTGACTATTTATTGTCATTTATATGACATGTTAAGAACCATAACTCTTAAAATGAAGTAACAGGAAAATTTACTACATATCTGACCTCGAATACTATTCCTGTATAATAGGCAAGTCCACGGACTACAGATGCATCAAAAGTAATCCACTGAGAATAACCGTAATGCTCAGCAAGTGAAAAAAACTTTTTCAAATCAGCAATAGCTTCAACATCAGAACCCAGTACCGCTGCATAAGCACAACCAGACATGTCATAAAAGATGAACACTCTGTTGGTTCAAGCACCACTACATGTAGCCATTATCTATAACAACAAACCTTCAAGTTTGTCTAATGATGTAAGAGAGAGAACTTCAACGATCCCCTTGACAGCTTCTGAAGTTACCCCAGCACTCATGAGTTCTTTTTCAACCTCTTCTTTAGTAATTTTTCCCAACTGCACTATATGCAACAGAGCAAGCATCATAAGAACAAAAGCTAACATATATTGTAGTAAAAAATTCAGATGGAAAGAAACATTTTGAATGGGTGGTCAGAACTCAAATAATCACTGGATACCAAGATCTTATTTATAAGTGAAAAAAAACTAGTTTTTAAAGAATTTTCTAAATTAAAGGTAGGAATTATAAATTTCAAGCAGCACTTAGGCTAAGAGAAACAGCTATATGTCCCTTCTTAGTGCAAATGTCTTCTAGAAATTTTGAAGTACACAAAGCGTTCTCAAACTCAAGCCTTTGGTCTGATAGCAGATTCATGCAAGAAGTGCTGATCAAGAAAACTACAACCGGCTGAGGACATTTCATCACAACTCAAAAGGCTTTTATTTACTGGTGATCCAACCGAACAGTAATCACATACTCCATATTGTTGAGATTTTCTAGGATTCTGAGACAAATTGTTTACATCTGTTTTAGTGGTCAACTACATTTCACACAAACACTATCTCCAGGTTTCTGAATTTTAGGCTGCGATGGTAGTGATTGAACTTGCTTTAAAAAGTTGTTGGTTGGTGTCCCTTGTCACATAATCAATGAATGTGCACAACTGCAGATATTTGAAATGGCTATGTGAGTTATATTCCCCAAGGGAATCAACAACAGTTTTAGTCTCAGATATCGACTTAGCATTATTAATTTATTACATCCTTCCATCTTCTCTCTAATCTGCAATTATTTAAGTGTCAGTTAGGACATATCCAATATTTACTGCAGGATTTGGAGCGATTTGTTAAACTGCCACCTTTTGTTAGTAAGAGCTCATGCCTACTATGTTACCTTATTGGTTTAGCTATTACCAAATGGAAGTATCTTATGCTTTTCATCTCTAAAATCTCAAATCTTCCAATGTTTCTAATATATTTCAATTTAACCATTATCTGGATAGGGTATCTTAACAAAAGATAAACATCTGTAGCTGATGCATCTCAGAAACTAATGAATAGTACAAGTACCACAATCAGCATTGAAGCACTTCAATTGTAAATGATAAACTATCTTATGCATGTAAGACTAATTGTTTCAACTCAAACTATAAGTCGGTGAAGAAGATATTAAGAGTTGGGAGGTAAACTAACCTTGTCAACAATCACACAAACTTCTGCAAATAGACGTTCTGGTATAGCATACATTTGCAACACTGCCTGGAGAACCTGTAAGCAGAAAAGAATTCAAATCAGAGGCGGCTATGCATTCACAATTCTATATCGGAGTTCCACCTAATAATTGGAACAAGGATAAATTGAGAGCAATCATCAATGACAAACATCAGAAGACAAACAATTTCTTAAAATGATCCATGTACTACATTAGTGTTATGAAAATGACTACATGGTTAATAAAGAATATTAAAAAGATTGGGACAATTTTTTATGGGATTTCATGATCTTGATAGTAGATCAAATGGGCTTGTAAGTTGGAATACACAAATCCTGAGAACTAGAAGATCATGGAATTATATATCTCAATTCTTACAATCTAGTGATGCCTGGCAAATGGTTGTGGCATCTGAATTCTAATGCTCCCTTTGAGTAGAAAGCCATTAGCTCAACAATAGAAGATGGAAGAATGATTACAGAAACAGATCTTAGTCATGTTTATAGAAAAGCATTTCAGACACTTTGCCTGCTTTTAGAATCAGCACTCTTCACACAATTGGCAATGGTTTGGCTTCCCATTTTGAAGGATTATTGTGCATGCACCTAAGACTGAAGGAACACTATTGCGACTATGCTTATAAACAGGTGCTGCAACTGATAAACATATTGTTATATTTATGGATGGATACATATGCATTAAAAAATAAAATACACACACACATACATACATAAATATAAATAAATAAATATATATATATATGTATATATGTATTTATGTATGTATGTGTGCATGTGTGTATATTTTATTTTTATGTACCTATATTGATTATGTAAATTTGTACTTATAAAGCTCAACATATTTCACCTTTCAAGTTTTTTACAAATTCCAAGTCTTTCAACGTCGAATAAACTACCAACCATAAATGTAGGAAATAGGAACCGAGATACTCTTTCCAATCATATACACAGATATATAGACATGTTAAAATTAAAGAAAAGAATGATTTAAATGTACCTTTCGGCTAGAGACTCTGATTCCCACATCTGATGAAGTTATCCCAAGCCGCTCAAATAAGAGAACTATAGCATTAACAAGTTCAGCCTCAGCCTGTGACCAAAAGTAAATCTAGACAGGTTCTCAGGGAGAAAAGAAACATCAAAGATATTTCTCCAAACTAATGACTGTGAAATAGAGAAAATTTTAATGACTGAAATTTACAATGTTTTATGAGAATGTTATCCATTGCATTCAACTTCTTCCCATAGATTATATCATAATACTTCATTCACGATCTGTACTCTCTTTTGTACTGTGTTTTTTGTGCTATATATGACACTGTTACAACATTCACAACTACTAAGTTCCCAGCCAAGTGTATCAGTTACATAGATGTTTACATGCCTTTGAGATCTTCAAGGGTAATATTATCCTACTCATGTTAAGGACCATCAAGTCTCCCTTTTATTATTTCTAATAAGGTTTTATACCTCTCCTTGAACCTCTAATCTTGGCTTGCCTTGTGCAACAAATCCTTTTTAAACATTCTCTGTCAATTTATCTTCAACTGAGAATATCTAGTATCCCATACATCTATCTTAACCTCCTCATCACATTGGAACTAATTTTTTGTTCAGTGTTTCTTAATTACATATATAATTCATAAAGCATAGCTGCTTTTATAACTATTTTATAAAAACAAATCTTTATGTCTATGTGAAATATGACAGCCCTTAACTGCAAGTATCCATCTCTAGTTTAACCATTGTATTTTTTACTCATTAAAAATATGTTCAACAATATCCTATCTTTCTTAACACAATATATAAGAGAAATAAAGTTAACAATCTTTTAGTCATCTAAAATTTTAATTAATGCTAAAATCTTAAAAATCCTTTGAATATAAGACAATGATGCGTTGAACCACTCATACAAGGAGAAGAAAATAGTCATGGTCTTTTCTTATGTGACCAAGATGTATAACATATAAAAAACTTACAATAAAAAACATGCAATACTACCAGTAAAATATACTGCAACAAAAGTGCAGCTGCACATACCCGAACTCTAGAAACACCTATTATATCCATATTCCACTGGTAATGTTCTCGACGTCTTCCTCTTGTCATCCGTTCATATCGCCAACATTGTCCTATGGTAAACCATTTTAATGGAAGAGAGACTGATTTGCTGAACAAAGAGGCATGTAAAATGTTAATTCTGGTGAAGGATACTACAGTCACTTTTATGAACCGATATAAGTAGTCAACAACCACAAAGACTCCATAAATCATTCTGAGGTTCACAACAAGGAGGAACTGTATGTAAAAGAGAAAAGCTGGATAGATTCTCATGCATATTCAAAAAGTCTTATGCGAAAGATTACCCCTGCTTTATAACAAGTCGTGCAAGTGAAGGGGTTATTTCAGGCCTTAAGACAACACGGCGACCCCCTTTGTCCTCAAAATTGTACAGCTGACAATGAAAGATTAATCAGTCAAATAATATACTCTTTTAAATATTTTAAACATATATGAACGTGAACAAACTCAGCAGCGAAATTTTAGGAAATGTTTAGTGTATCTACTCGGCAGTATGAAAAGAGGAGAATAAAGAAGTGCCAGGACATAAAAAGAACACAAATCCTACACTTCTTTACCTATTATCTTAAATTAGTACATCAAAAGAAGATAGACTTCGTAAGGAATTAGTAACAGAGGGAAGTCAAAGAATATTGCTAGCGCCAAAAAGGTCTGAAGTTAACTGATGGTTGAAGTTGCGGGCACAAGTAAGATAGTGTAGGAAACGACATTATGACACTGGTCGCCACCACTCGTCAAGAAATAACCTAAAAATCGCATCTTTAGTTCCTATTGACCAAGCACATACATCAAATTAGTATGCACATACCTGTTGGGTGATCTCCTCCCCAGCTTTCCTAATGAAAAGAGCCTCAGACTCGAGGACCGGGAAATCAACCTCCTCGAAAGATAGAATCCGAGACACCTGACAGGTATACATCAACCACGAATAACATCGAACACTTGGAGTGCAGAACACCAACACGATGATAGCCATATAACCGTTCACCAGACTCTTACCTCCCTGAACTGTTGGAAGAGCCAGTTCCGAAGCCTCATGTCCTCCGGAGGGAAATCCCTCGTTCCCCTTGGAGGGTTAACATCAATGAGCTGTTGCGTCTCCCTCCCGGAACCAGGCGGCGGCGGGACGCCTGGCGGCTCCGCAACCTCATCGATGTCGTCTGAATGAGGAGCGGATGAGATTGACGGAGCAGGTCGGTGAACGTAGGACAACGAGGATGGGAGGGCTCACCTCGAGATGCAGTGGAGGAGGAGGAGGAGGGCAAGGACGAGGAACATTGAACGGAGGCGGCGGAGAAGAAAAGGCGGCGGCGCAGGCGAGGGGAGAATGGTATGAATGAAAGATGGAGGCGGGGACGGAGGAAGAGGAGGTGGTGTTGGAGAACGGGGAAGGCGGACATCGGGAGGGGAATCTCGAGTTCTCTCTCCCGGAGAGGAGGGGTCGGGAGTGAGGGCGAGGCTTCAACCGTTCCGGGTTTTCTTCTGATATGCCTAACGGGGGAGCGGATAGGGATACGTGGCAGTTCATCAACCGATATAGATAAAGATCCCTGATTGGTGCGCTACGCCGTATCAGTTGTCAACCGAGAATTGTATAACAAAGGAAGACACCCGGCCATCCGTGCACCAAAGTCGGCGCATCCACACCGCTCATCGTATTCTCGTGAGAATCTCAACGATGACCCTCAGGATTCCGTGCTCGGATCATACAACGCTCACGACGTGAATGGACGGTGATCCTGCGCTCGATAAGATGATCCGGGTCGTCTTAAGATGGCGTTGATGCGATTATGACGATCTGAAATATATAATGGAAAAAGAATACACATCGCCCTACGTCATACATGACTTGAATGGATCTATGACGATTCAGCATGGGTAATTAATCGAAGATATCAATTGGTCATTTTAAATGATAGGATGGGTGATTGGAGTTTTGACATAAGATATAAACATTGTTTTGTAGATTTAACGTTTAACTTGGTTTTGATGAATTTGTACACTACTCATGGTCGAGAAATGTGTTGTGTGCTTTGTTTGTTGTTAATGATGACTCGTGGGACGAGAGAGAGGGCATCGGCTGCAGCCATGGGCAAGATAGGCGTTACAAATGTTTTGACCCGCTTCTCATTTCATGATCTCCTGCATGAATCATCAACGTGTGCATTGGTTTTCGCCACAGAAGAAGCCGAGGAGGAAGAGACCGGCAATGCAGCAGCAGCAGGAGGTGGAGAGGCAGCAGAGATGGAAGAGGGCGACGACGACGGCAGCACCACCGTCTTGGTGAAGCTCATCATATTCATCATAGCACATGAAGGGCTTACAACATCAATAAATACATTTCTTGTATCCATGAAATCATTCGGGTGATTCCTATCATTCTCAGCATATCGAGCCAATACCCACGCACTTAACTATCATAAGTGTATAATTCACGAGACGGCAATCGATTGATCATCTTTCTCACTATGGCAGATCTCTGATAATTCTCTCGAACTCGCTCGGCAGCAGGGTATGGCAATGGCGCCCTCATGCCGGAAGCCGAACTCCTCCTCGGCCAGCTCCAACAGCCTCAAGAACACCGGGTGGGAGAGGCAGCTCAGCGAGACCACAAACCTCTTCGGCTGCTCACCCCACACTGCCACCACCGCGAAGTGGCCCTCCTCCACATCCTGCGGCACCGCCGTCACTGCACCGGTCCTCTCTTTCCCCTTCAAGCCTTGATCCGGTAGGCGGCAGACCCTGGGACAAGAGAAGCTCCGCTGCAGCACCTTTGCCGCGTGCTTGAGTACACGGTAACTCCTCATGAACTTGGCCATGTCTGGTTTCCACATGATCTGGTTGCTTGGCGTATAAATAGCCATGTAGAGATCCAGAGATAGGAAGCATGAGGGTGATGGGTCTGCCGTGACCTGTCGTTAGATTTGGATATATGTTCATGCATTGTGGCCTGTATTCAGCTCAGTAGCAAGATCTGGGACATCTGATGGGTGGTCACGCTCCCCAAACTGTATTCGGCTTTTAGAAGGGGAAATAATAATGGAGATGGGCTCTAACATGCTTGCTTAGCTTGTGCTTGAAAGGATACATGCCTAACTTAGATTCAAGTGAGAGCTAAATCTGTGATGTGCACTTGTTAGTTGATCGATCAGTATATGTAGCTCATAAGCTTAGCTATGTGATCTAAGGCATTTGAGGACTATGAACATGTACTCGTCTTGATGAAGTGCTGTCGATATAACATCAGGTAGTCCTGATAGAACCAAATAATATCTTCCTTGACTTGTTTTGTTTGACCAATGCTACATCTATGCAATATATGGTGCGATGTAAACGTAGAAGTTGAAAGGAAAGTCTTCTCTTTCTCACTGTGCGTGACAGCCGAAGCACAGCGTTATGCTTTAAGATCCAAATGCATGTCGATCTCGAGCACTGTCGAGGACGATTGGTAAACCACGAGTGTACATGGAAAACTTGGTCGTGAACTCTCCATCACTGTTCAAGCTCGGAAGCCGTTGCAGGATCTGAGCCGACCACTGTCGACATCGCGGTAGCCATTTCAAAGGGCGGTGCGATCGATGAGGCACTCAATTGAGGATAAGCTAGCGCTGGGTGAGAGTTGGACCAGCCATTTCCACACATTCTACGATCTCTATCAATTACGAGTGCTTTCAGGTAAGGTGGAACTCCCTTGAGCAATCACATCTATATGAATCAGCCAAATCCACACGTTAAGCTGTCGCAACGCCAGAATCCTAATCTTGCTTGCTGGACGCAGTTCTCCCGATCCATCTTGATTTGTTCTTCTGCCACCTCCCTCGGTTGCTCCCACCATGATCATCCTCGCAGAGGGTTCGATCAGATCACTTCATTGTTCCTCATGAAATGGTGCGAGATTTTGGCACTAGACGGTCTCCCCGCGTCAATGGTCATGTAGCGATCTCAGGACGATGTTGTAGTCCGATGTCTCAAGCCAAGCACCGTTCCCGCCACATTCGACGCCTGATTCATGCAAGGGAACATATGTGAATCATACCAATCTTTTTCTGCCAATGCTGTCAATGCATAACCCCATTTGGCCTAAGCAATTCATCACTCCACTTTGACTCTGCAAACTGTTCAGTTGAAATATGGTTGTCCAACTTGGATACCGACTAGGAGCAATCAAAGCCCTATTCCGTGTATGTCTCTTGTGAATGATCGAATCTAGAAGATGCTGAATCCTACAAAGTCATGGATATGCCCGATAAAATTCGTCTGATACTTAAGGTTTAGTTAGGAGTTGAAGTATCGACAAAGCACTGAGAATAAAAAAAGTCAAAAACACTAACTAAATGAGAGTTTTTTCTGTGTGTGTTTGAGCCCGTTATGCTGACATATATGTATTGATGTCAGGAATGGTTTCATATATTCCCTTTCTTATCTCGAATGGAATTGTGTTACATCGAATTGGCCAGAACCTATTCTCTGTATTGGTTTGTCAAAACCAAGAGCATGGTATTTCCTTGTACAGCAGAAGAATCGGAGTTCCATCCGCTAGAGTTCTTTTGCTTGCTCTTTTCAACCATCTGCAAGGCTCATAACATATATACTCGATAAAAAGCAAAGGTTTTCTTCCAGTTCAAATGTCATGCATCAGAGGAAGTGTACCTGTGCTGCATGCATGGACTATAAACAGGGGTAGGTTTGATATCTCTTTCGTCTCACAGAAAAAAGCTGGTATCAATGTTCATCAACTGACCGAATGGATCGTCAAATATTATCTTACTGTGAGAATCATCAGTTCAGATTTGAGAGAACAATATATATTAGAGTCTTGAGCTCTTAATGACAAACCCTAGCAAAGATGCTTTGAGAGAACGGGTTTTATCTCCAAGATCAACTTTGAAAGGCATACTTATGATGAATCGGAAAGCATCATGCAGATGTTCTCATGCACGCTAGCTCTTGCGTATAGGGGTAAGGTGTTTCCACGAGACATACTTGATGATAGGCGTAATGTGATTTATATACTTTGTGTCATAAGCATCATCGGTAGATGTTGAAACATGGTGATTGAACTTTGGTTTCTTTGAGTTTGTTCTACTCGTGACTTCAAAGGCATCTCAACCCATTCATTAGGCAAAGAAATCTGTACAAACAGATTATATATCTTTTCCTCTATTCCAAACAGCTATATATGGGCCTTTACTATTGAATGCTTGTGAGCTTTATGGCACAACGATAACTATAGCAACAAAAACAAACTGTAGATCCCAATCATTCGAGAATACTTAGTTCCCTGTCATCGACCTCTGCTGAGAGATATATAATTGGTCAAGTCGATATTAAGAGAGGAAGCAAATCAATCAAGATTTATCCTTCAGTGCATGTTTTGGGAGCATTATGGTGCGCAGTGCAAGCAAAATAATGAACTCATGACAAGAAGAAATATTGGAAAGAACGTACAAACGAAAGAAGGAAGCACAGTGGCTGTCACTGCTCAGCACAACATTTTCTCATAGAGGTCTCTGGCCATAAAGCACCCGATACTTTGCATGAAAAGTATCATTGATGCCATCACAGTTGCAGTGTTTCCCTGCAGTCGACTTGAATGAAAGAAACCCTTTCTTTTGGATTATGGCAACCCTCTGATTGGAGAGAAAACAACACACCTTAGAGGCTCCAGTTCATACAATAGTACAACCAATATACTTTGACTAAATCACATGCGTTTAGCTCTTAGATGTATATGTTGGTATATGTGCTTAGATGGAGAAAGGAGCTCAAATCAAATTGCCGGACAGTTCTGTGCATGTTGTCCTAAAAGATAGGTCCACTTAGAAACAACTAGCAGCAACATGTACCTTCTGTTAGGTCCACCTAAATGAGTGACTGATGAAGGAGAGTTATTGCTAACATAAGATTTTTTTTTTCCTTTTTAGATCCTTTCCATCCCAGGACATTTCCTGCCACATAGTTCTTTAGATGGTAAGCTCTCTAAGAACAATGATCAAACCTGCATTAATTAGCAAATGATCCTTGCACATACTTTACATGTTAGTGTGCATTAATGTGAATGAGTTGCTCTTTTGTTTTCTCCAGGTTTCAGAAAATAAATCTTACCATGTAGCCAAGGATCTCCTTGGTCCTTCTTCTGAATGCAGTTGTTGTATCACAACTTAAAAAAGAGTCCATTGATCTATATGATTTACTGTGGCAACCAAATTGAGCAGCTTAACATCATTCATCTCAAAGCAAGAAGATAGTTTGTTGATGACCGCCAAATATTGAAGGAATGCACATATTAATGTCAAACTTCAAAGCATTTCCATTCAAGAGTACTACCAAGATGCATTAGAATCCATAAATTAACAAAGCCAGACTGAAATTAAAAGTTGTTGTAGTTAATTTTTTCTAGTCTTCCGGTGAGGATAAGGAGCAAGCTCTTTGACTGGACCATATCAAATCAAGAAGGAATTACCCCATGCAAGATGATCACATGTTCAGATCTACAACCATGTTTTGGTGTGTTTGAGAAAGAGCAGTACCGTCGTCCTCTTAAAAAGGGCTCATGATGAAGCCAGTCGATTGAAGTGGTCCATGATGTTACTCGCCATTTGGATTTCTTAGTTCTGTCCTGCGACTTTTAATGCTTTATTTCATCCATCAGCCATATAAATTATAGAGTTTCTTCTATATTGAGAGGAGAAGAAGAAGAAGAAGAAGAAGAAGAAGAAAAAGAAAGGTTTTTTCCTTATCAACAAAAGACACAGTAAGATGAATAAACAGCTATATATATATATATATATATAT